GTCTGGCACATATGCTAATCATAATGAAATTATATATATTACCTGGCAGCAGAAAATCTCACACGGCATGTATACTTCATGATGTCGCAAATTTCATTGCCAGAAAAGGGTGTATTTATGTGTCCGCTTTGCATATTTACATTCATGTGTAAAACTTGACCACAAATCATGTTAATTTAAGTTATTCATAGCTGGCCAAAGTTGACATAGATTCATTTATGCTCTTTTCTCTCTTTATACCCACAGGTAAAATTCGCCATGCCCACCCTGAAGTACAGACTACAGCAGGAATTCACTGGCCAGCATGAAACCCAGTCGTGGAAGGATTGTGGTGTGCATTCATGTTTTTCACGCAAGAAAATTGAAAAACAAGCATTGAATGCAACAGCATCGTGAAAGCAAGAAAATAAAATAAAAAAGCAAGACTGACACAAACATACATGATAGGAAACACACAAGTGAATAAAATTCCTTACACAAAACATCACTGTTACACACAGTAAAGTTATAAAAAAAACGACCAGCATCATATAATTGAAACTAAAAACATAATTGAAGCATTATAAGCTTGAATGTCGCTCCTTGTTCTTTCTTATGAGCAAGAAAATTTGTTCTCTCTTGATAGGAGAAAACATATTTGAAATATCAATAAAGATAATCATTAATATTCTGTGTGCAAAAAGGCACAGTTTGCCCGAAAAGGTGCTTTTTGCATGCATGGTAACATAGGCCTTTCCTGCTGGGTCCGAAGACATAAGGCCGGAGGCTACCTCAAAACCAATTCCCCAGGGAATGCATTCGTAAAATTTTCTAAATTCTTTCAGCTTGATCGTAATATACTATAAAAATGCCTCCGCCCCTGAGGCGTCGCCAAAAAACACGCCTGGGGGTATTTGCCCACTCTACCTCCATGCCAAATTTCAAGTCATTTGGCTGAATGATGGCGGAGTTGAATCCCTTTGACTGTGTGGCAGGAGGAGGAGGAGAAACATGAGAGAACACAATATATTTCATCCATACCATGGTATGGACTGAAATATAATTACACGTACAATGTATTAATGACATATCCCACATGTAGCTTTAGATGTACTTCAAGCTAAAGATGGCACATAAAGTCTCATTGATTATGGAAGTAAGGTTATAGTTAGCATAATCTATATCTATCATAGATTTTTCAAATGACCTATTACAAATTAGATAATATCTTCTATAAGTGAAAGTCCTATCGTTGGCATCTCAACATTTTATTATTAATTATGGAAATGACCACATTAAACAACGCAGAGATCTCTTGTAAGCATACATATTTCAAGCCACTGTAACTGTGACCTTCATTTTACAGATGTGTCATCAACAGGATTCATGCATTCCGTGGATTTCATCAACAAGAAAGTTGCTTACGTTGGACAAGATTTCAAGATGGTGCAAGATTACAACAAGGTCACCTGAAATTAGATCTTTCTAAAGAAAACAGAAGATTTTCTTATGGATTTAAGATTTTCTTATGAATCACTATAAATCACAATATGGTACATGGTTGTGTATGTCCGGCAGCCTGCTGGGGGACAATGTTATACAATCTGCAAATAAGTAAAAAAAGTATCAGATTAGTGAATGATTGGAAAGCTAAGTTCTTTATTCACAACCACTTGAATATTTAACAATACCCGACGTTTTTATCATTGCCTGTCATCTTCATCAGGATAAAAACACCTTGTTTTTGCTCCGTCTCTTCCTCTTCTTCTTCTCCAGTGACCTATGACCTGACCAATGACATGATTTGTTGACGTCTGTCACCATAGTGACTGGTGTTGGGTTTCATAATCTTGCAATTTCATGGTCTGCTCTGCTCCTGTCACCATATACTAGTAGTACAATGTATTTGAATGTGTTTTAGTAAGAATTAACAGAGCAGACCATGTCCGAAGGTAAACATTATGCATTTGCTTTGCAAATGTTACTTCTCTAGTTACCTTCGCCAAGAAGGTTATGTTTTCAGAGGCGTTCGTGTATGTGTGTGTGTGTGTGTGTGTCTGTCTGTAAACACGATAACTTGAGAAGGCTTAAATGGACTGACTTGATATTTGGTAGGTGGGTAAGTCTTGATGAGACCTCAAAATGATTAGATTTTGGGCCACCTGGTGGCTTGTTATGGTACTGCAGCAGAACTTCCGGTTTTGATATCTCAAGATTCAGACATGCTAGGGTAACCAAATTTAGGTGGTAGATAGCTCTTGTGCTGGGGATGAAGTGACATGAGTTTGAGCCCCCTAGTTGCTTGCTCTAGAACTGCAGGGGGTTTAAAGGACAAATGTTTAAAAGAGGATACCTCAAGAACCGATTGATGGATCATCGTGATTTTTGGTATGTAGGTAGCTTAAGTGATGCTTGACATAATGATATTACAATTATGCAAATATTGATGTAATTTGCATAAATAATGAGGAAATTCTATAAATCAGCTGCATTCCATGATAGGAAGTTCAAGCTTGTAACATGTGTTATTAAGAACGAGAGAAACACAGGCAAATATTGATTATGCAAATGAAGACTTAATTTGCATAATTAATGAGAAAATGTTATAATTGCATAGTGGTAACTGCCTGGAATTTCATACTTGGGGTGTTTGAAAGTTAAGTGAAGGTGAACATAATTAAACATAACTTATTCAAATAAGGACCACATCTGCATAATTTATGAGGAAATGGCATTCTTTGTTAAGATAAGACTGTCTTTTGGTGTAGAATATGATCAACAGACTGATATAATTCATGCAATTGAGGATCCTATTTGCATAATCAGGGTGATTAGTATATTTCTTATTCATAAAGGCTAACATCATTTGGCGAAGGTATGAGATCGTGGAACTCTAGTTATGTTTGGTTTACTGGCCCTGATGAAGATGACAGATGGTTATATAAGCATACATGTAAGCCCATGTTCAGTTAAACAAGTGGTTGTAAATAAAGAACCTTGCTATTCTAGATTGTTTGTGCATTCTCGTCTTCTACTTCTAGATGATGCAGTATGTGGTCAGCCAAGGGTACTGCATCCCCAGTAAACTGACCATGCCGATAGACAACTGCATGCCTGGTGAGTGTTGGGAACATCACTGAAATGTTACGGGTACTCATTAACAGATGACACATGCCATTTGTTTTCAGTGGATGCAAGGACATACTTCTGTATAATGTCTTTGGTTGGTGCTATTAGTTTTGCTGCATATAACTGGTAGACATGTCTAATGCATATTATTTTTTTTATTACCTCCATGAAATGTGTCATGGAGGTTATATTTTCAGTTGCGTTTATCTGTCTGTCTGTCTGTCTGTTGGTCAACAAGATAACTCAAGAACGCCTGGATGGATTGGTTTCATACTTAGTGTGTTGGTAGGGTGTGACGAAAACTGGAAATGATGAGATTTTGGTCCCCCTAGTGGCTTCCCTTGGTACTGCAGCCCAACTTCCGGTTTTGATATCTCGCGATCTGGACATGCTAGGGTCATGAAATTTTGATGGAAGGTAGCTCTCGTGCTTGGGAAGAAGTCATATGAGTTTAGTCACACCAAGAAGCTGAGTATCATATGATAAACCAAACATAACCGTGTATTTTTTTTTCAGTGAATGCGACAGTTGCGACAAGACTTGACATGGGAGGACCGAAGGGTGTCACGCTTGATGTGTACGATGTTGAGACTATATCACCAGGGCCGGGGCTGGGCCAGTACAAGGGGTCGTACACATTCAACCGAGATGGTTGCATCCCTTTTTCACAAATTCTCATGACAGGTATGGAAAAGGCTAGTGCCATTGCACATTGTTACTAAGTTATATAAAAGTGAAAGATCGCTGTAAAATATTTTTTGTGAATTTCTTGCTAAGTCTACATGAATTATGTATTTCCCCCATGCTTCCATGTTTGAGGCAACAGGCTTCTACATGTATATAGTTACGATGAAGCAGGAAATTACCATACAACAGCAAATGAGATAACCTTTTCTGAGATCTTTTAGGGAAATTTGAGCTTTAGCGTCCCTGACATGCCTAGCATGTTGAAACACTTGTATCTACTGAGAAACACAACCAAACACACAGACATAACGGAAACATCCATACACAGAGCTTGTGAGGCAACAAGCCTTAGGGTTTACTGAAAATACTGGGCTGTCTACGTATACCTAACATGTACTTGAAACCATTTGTCCCCATTTTTACAGAGGGAAGTGTTGCCACCCTGGGGTACGTCAACATGACCTTTGGCATCAAGGACCCTTCTGTGTTTGACGTTCCCAGTCCGCCCTGTCCAAAGGACACTGACGGCTTTGAGGTAAGAAAACTTCCTGGCTGTGTCCAGATTTCACAGCCTCTACCTGAGGCTTCGGGAGGCGGCTGGAAAGAGTAGAAACTGGCCAAATAGAGAGATAACATGCTGAGGGAGTTGGTCCACTACAGAGTACGGCAAAAATTACTCTCTAGCGGACTCCCTTGGCATGCTATCTCTATATTTGGCCAATTTCTACTCTTTCCGGCCGCGTTTCATACATGGTCTGGTATAGGATACAGATTTCACACTGTATATAGTTGCATACAATGTAGTTCGAGATTTTTTGTGATCGAACATTCCATGAGCAAACTAACAAAAAATCTCAGTGGTTTCTGCTTGCCGTAATGCAAAGTAGTGCTTCACTTGTGAGTTATTAATGCATCGTACAGGGTTGAAGATCAGCTTACAAAACAAAGGCATATTCATGCAGAACATAGAAAGCAATTAGTTCTACTTCAATGTTGTGGAGCCTGAGAAGAATGCCTGTCCTATCTCTTACAGAACTCACTGGAGGAGCAGACTGCCTCATCCTGGCCACTTTTTCCATCCCTTCCGTGATGTTACTGAGAACGCATTCAAGAATCCAACCATCTAACCACCACCACCAATCGAATGGCCTTTTGCTTTACTTTACCATAAAATGATTTTTTTCCGTGTAGTGAAACTGAATTGAATAAAATTCTCTCGTTTAATGTTATTCTGTTTGTGCTCTATTATTTTATAGTGATGACATACTAGTATCCTGGATTCTCTACCACTACTTCCTACATTTACTAAGAAGTCTGGGAACAAAGGTCTGTTACTGGCTCACCTAAATATCAGGAGCCTTCCAGCTAAACATATGTTCCTTGAGGTTCTTACCCAAGAAAGTGGAATTGACAAGTCTAGGCAGTCCCTTCTCTTATATCCGTAACCTTCCAGTACAGTTGAGAATGTAGTGCGCACATATGCACCTCAGCTGATAACATATTAGACTCAAATATTTGTATTGCCCTTTCTCTAAACAAGACGCTAATTCAAAAATATTATCCCATCCAGCCACAACTAGTACTTACACACACTGAGTGTAGAGTCATGAAACACACAGAGAAAAAAGCCTCCTTGCAAGATCTGCATTTTATTTCACAACATATACAATAAGCATGCTCGATACGTAGATAGACATGCACATATGACTAGTAATTATTAACATCGTTAAGGTCAATAAAAAGGCTAATAAAAGGTTTGTTTTTAAACCTCAAAAGTCAAGATGTTAAGTAAAGAACATATAGAACCTTCTACACTTTTACCTTTGATAAGGTTAGACATCTAGTCATAAAACTGGATATGATTTTGGAAACGGTCAGACCTTTCAGGTAGCATCCACTACCTTTCGTCAGTGACACTGAGAGAGTGCAGGTACCCTACGCTCCACCTGCTTCTGTGTTGAACCAAGTGGAGCGTAGTGTACCTACTGACCATGATGTATCTGACAAGCTGACACTTAACACTCTAACCCCCTTCAGTATCAGTCAGATTGAGTGTAGACTGCGAGCGGTAGGAAAGCCGCGGGTCCAGACAACATTCCTCAGTGGCTCAAACGGAAAAGTACTTTTCAAACTAGAAAGGTAGCATTTGAAAAGCAAAATGCATAATGTTTACCTTCGCACATGGTCTGTTCTGTTAATTCTTTCAAATACATTCATATATATGGTCAGACAGGAGTCTAAATCCCTCCTGCTATAAAATTGCGACATGATGTAACCCAACACCAGTTACCATGGTGAGAGACGTCAACAAATCAGATCATTGGCCAGGTCAGAGAAAGAGGAAACGTAGCAAAAACAATATGTTTTCCTTCGGTAAACATAATAATACTGACCAATAAAAGCCCTATGACTTTTCTATAGAATTCACTACTACAATCACTGAACAATTTACTACCTTTGATTAGATTGTAGCATTGTAGCATAGCCATTGTAAACGCAATAGATGATAAGTACTATAGGTAAGCAAAATATTGTACCCATACTTCCTACAGTGTTACCCTGAACTTGTCGTATGTAATATGTGGAGAAAAAATGTACAAGAATTTATTTTAGGAAGGAATGTCTCACATCATTGTTACAACGTCCAAATTTCCACAAACACTACAATTTACAAGTTTTAGGTAAACTCAACAAATCTTTGGAGATCTCTGACGATCACCGGGCAATGCAAGAAAGCAAAGGTTAGCGTGACAACCACACAGAGCACACTTGCTCGAACTAGCTCTGGTTAGATTAAAACTCCCACCCAGAACCTTAAAGTGACCAACCATGTAGCAAATGAAACTCCCCCGTTATGTCTTTGCCCTAGCCTTGTATCTCCGTAGGGTAAATTGCCCCCCTTTTGGAAACTGTTACTGCCTTAAATTGTCCCACTGCAATCTTGTATGATTATTGATGTACTTCCTTGTAAAGTGACCTGCAACGAATAAAACAGAGTTGGAACGAGAATTGAACCCTGGCTTGGTGTGGTGAATCCTGATTAGTTAAGAGCCCAAATCCTACTGCTAGACATATGTCACTATGTGACAACCATTCAAAAATCGTCAATTAAAGTGACACGTGACGTCAGCAAGCTGTTGAAATCGGTCGTACGCCAATCGGTTGTGGGACGTAGCGGCAGAGTGCTCGACTCGAAACCAAGAGGTCCCGGGTTCGAGTCCTGACATGCCACCGATCTTGTGCCCTTGGGAAAGGCACTTCCACAACTTAACTCAAGTGAAAATGAGTATTGTCCGTATTCGTCCTATGCGTTGGGGACGGCATAAAATAAGTTGATATAATTTGAGTATGTCGTCACAATGTCTGTTATGAATTTTTAGAAAAGAAAAAAAATCGGTCGCTCACATCTTGGTGACGACCACGTACCCAGGCCCGTAACGACCGGGGTCTGCCTACCTTTCCTCAGAGAAAACGTCCCTGCCACCCGGGCCCCGCCCGATCTGAAGGCAATTTTGGAAAATCCTCCTCCAGCACCTTAAAAAGCCGTTTAAAACAGACAGTTACTTTCGAAACTAGTTTCATCAGGATGATAAAGTATAGGATACGGTAGTTCTTTTTCACAACCAAGATAATTACTTTGCTGACGCTTATTACTGAAGGTCATAGATAGAGAACAGAACAGAAGAATCCGATGGATTAAAGAAGCTGTCTGGATAAGGAAGTCAACCCAAGTGATGGACCGGGACGAGGGGCCATATTTCGGATTGCGGTCTCGCCACAAAAGCGCCACCTACATCGGCTACAAATAGCGGCGAGAAGCAGTCAGAAGCTCTAAGAAAGGTGTCTAATAGACACCGAAACGTCAGCAATGTAGTTATCTTGGTTGTGAAAAAAGAACTACCGTATCTTAGCCTAGAGTAGCCTGGGTGCCAAACCCATAGTACACTGGACACAGAGTATCTCAGTGAGCATACCTTTAGAGTTACTTTTATAATCATAATCATAATGTAGGAGTGACGGCGAGAAAATAAGTCGTGCACAGGTTAAGTCCGCCGTCACGTTTTGTTTTTTTTCCTTTTATTCGTATTCATATTTTTCTCTGAATCTGAATGTAAGAAAAAATAGACAACTTGAGTGAAATGTTCCAACCCCCACGTTTATAAACGTTTAAAAACGCAGTGTGAGCAAGGATGATAACCCTACCTGCAGCCTTTGTCCTGTAGTTCCTAGTTTCGGGCACGGTGAAGAGCTGGATCCCGTTCTGTAAGATCACCAGCTTCTCGTGGTCCTGTCCGCGGTAGTGGAGACCAAAGCCGGTCGGGCCTGCATGGCCAATTTTGCCGAGGGTGGTAAATTTGGCGGTTCGAAAACCCAACACTGTGGGAAAAATTAAAAAAAAAGAAGCGTACAGGCATAACATTAAGTTGCTGATTAGAAATTATTAGCTTACATAACATAAAAATAACTTAATAAGCTTAACAAATGTACATAGCATAAAGTATGGGACCAATGACAAAAAAGGTATTCAATGTAACGTACAATTCTAAGGACTAAAATAACCAGGACTAGCAAAAGTCTTTAATACAGTGTTGCAATCGAGTGGGGCTAAACATTGTTTATTTTCTTATAAATGATTTTCTTATATTATATTATATTATATTATATTATATAATATTACATAGTATTATATTATAGAATATTATGTTATAGAA